ACACTATCATTGAGCATGTCATTGGCCAGGCTCTATGCAAGATCCTCTCACTTCTCTTCCCTTTGCAAAACCCTAAATCACACCCCTGTCCGATCGAGGTAATTTCTTGACTTGCTAAACATTTTTCAAGTAATTATCTGTTGTCTGCGACTTTATGGTTTCATGTTTTACTTGTATGCATATCTCTACACACTTGAATTGAATTGCTCAAACCTATTTGGAATGGAAATATACGATTTTCTGCTTGTGGGATTGTAGTTTTCTAGTGGTATCTGTTATTGTCCTCTATATGTATTTTGAAACACTCGAAGGGCTTATCTGAATCTTGATTGCCTTTGCCAACACTAAGACCCCAGGGCAAGGGCTAACTGCCTCTATGATCTGCTGCCCAAGGGGTATGGAATCCCCTTTTTATTGTTTTTTTCTTTTGTTTTAGAAGAAAGCCATGAAGCAGGAGCTTTGTAATAGAATGATCATGATTTAGTATTGGGGTGTACARTATTTCCTTTTCAATTTTATCATTATTGGTGAAGATTTCCTAATATGCTAYCAAGCTCCAATGCTCTTTGTTGSTAACWACTTGCTCTAGCTTATAATTGTTATTGCCCATGTATGTTGGCGATTTAAATTGGTAGACGTATGTATGCATTCTATAATTGTTTTCGAGCCATTTTTGTTGATTCAGGTGTCTACTTGAAGTTGGACAGAGAATATATAATTCTGTGGGAGCTAGTAGTTCTAGACATGGCCAATGYTGTTCTGAATTCCGAAATTTCACGTCTGGATCTGAACTCAGTARGAAGTCTTTCAATAAAATTTCCCACTTGGGAGTTGGGTACTTGAAGAGACCTTATGTGYTGGGTTCTCATCATCAGTATACTACAAATGTCGTTAGAGAACAGAAATCAAGGAAGATACTTTATTACTTAACAGGTTTGGTGTTTGCAATGGTGGGATGTACTTATGCTTCAGTTCTTTTGTATAGGAGGTTTTGTCAAGCTACTGGCTATGGGGGTACTGTTCAACGGCGTGAGGTATGCACAAGGCTTTCTGATTTCTTTAGCTTTGAATTATCTTGTGGGCATCTCTCACAATTAACATAAAACCTCATATACTTCTTCCATTATTTTGTTTTATCCTTTCCCTCTCCAGACTGTAGAAGAAAAGATTGCAAGACATGCTCAAGATGGAACTGTCACCAATAGGTGTGTTATTTCAGAATCTAGTGGAACCTACAAAATTCTTTATAGATTGTTTCAAATCTTTTTTAATTTAAGAGTTTCGATTGATGAATGAGTCAATATACCTACAACTACTTGTAAATGTGGGACATTTTGTTTCTACAATTTTACTATGCCTATCTTTAGAAAGAAGGTAAAACAAAACAAAGTTCACTTCTCAAAAAGTGAAGATAAAATATTTTTCTTTCTTCCTTAGGCTGCTCTTGTGCATGTTTCTTAGAGATGAGTTACAAGTAGATAACTATAAAGAGAGATCAATTCTAGTCTATCTTTATCATCATATTCTTTAGACGATGACACATTTATCCTATAATGCTTGTCAAATTAAATTATTTATTTTGAAAAAAAAATGTTTTGAAATCAATAATTATGGAAGGGAAATTCGAGTTTCTGTGCTTAGTAGAGCGTTTATTTACAAATGACGCTAATTCAGTTTGAACATTATTATTTGTATTTCGAGGCCTTTAATTAAAATATTTAATATCTTAGGTTTAAATTAATTTTCAACCAATATAAAAACATTTAAATAACACATTATATGGTTGGAAATCGGCCAAAAACGATTAATTTACACATTCTATCTACTTAAAGATTTTAAAGGAAACTGTGGATGTGAAAGATGATGGTTTTATTTGTCGATTTGTTTTTTTTTTTCGTTCGATTTTTTTAAATTTGTTTGAGATAAAGATGAATGTGACGTTCATGGGTCCATATGAGATGTACGAAAACGAAGATAATGAAAATATAGAATCAGACAAAAACATTTAATTTCATAAAATAAATAATAACTTATAAATATACATTTATTGACAAACAATTAAAAATCACCTATGTAGACATGTTCATTGTTCACTACCGATCTATAAGCTCGCAAGTATGCATGTCTTAACCAAAGGGTATTCGGCCTAGCAGTATCGTAGCCTTTGGCTTCCTAGGAGGTCAAGGGTTCAAACCTCACCAAAGGTGAGGAGGGTGTATGAGTTTATTTGTTGCATTTGCCGTATATAAATATTATATACTTAAAAAAAAAAGCATGCATGTCTTAAAAATCCACCCTTGTCAATGTGTATAAACTAAAGATGTTTTTTTTTTATTAACCTGGATATCCAACTCGTTATTCGAGTTGACTAATCCTAGGACGACCACCTGCTTTGCAGATAGCCCGCAATCACCGCATTTGAACCTCCGTGGCCACAAGGGAATTTTTATTCCTCCTTGAATTTGAACATGGGACCTCCAGGTACTTCTGACCTTTGGAGTCAAGCTCAAACCAATCAGGCACCACCCTTGTGGTTTAAACTAGAGATGTTTGTTGTATGGTCTAACGTTAAATTTGCAAATTGCACCTATATGTCTCAAATTCACACACGAAAATATGGTATGGTGTGGAAAGTTTATGTAGTTTAACGAACACTCCTAATATAAACTATAAACCAAAAAACAAGAACAAGGTCAATATACGATAACACGAAACGCTTATATCACATGTGATTTTATACTAAAAATCTATAGAATCACGTGTGAATAAGGAATGGTCAAACCTTCACGATCGTCAGGTCAAACGTATACACGCATCTTCGAGTCAACCATTTCATAATCACATATACCTTTTTGTATAAAATCATACTAGTTGTGTACCCGCGCAATGCAGCGGGAGCCATGAATTTTTAACGATTTTGAAGTTTCATTGGTTTTATTAGAGAAGATTTAATTATAATATAAGTTACACTTGGTTCTTTACATATTAATACAATTTGAATAAATAAGAGTTATGGTTCTAATTACAGTCTATCGATGGAAAAAATTGTATGATAGTTTAAAATCTAATATATTTAAAATCCAACGTATTTAAATTACTCCACAAACATGTTCGATTTACACCAAGGGCAAAGAATCAAGAGATCGAGAGCGAGACCGAGAGTTTAGAGAAATTGAATGAGATGAATGAGAAAACTTTTAATAACTCATGATGAATATTAGTTTGAATCTCACCTTGGGGGATGAGAAGAAGACATAAATGTATGAGAAGGTGAAGACATGAGTTAAATGTATCAAAAATATCTTAGAAACATGAAAAGAAAAGGTAATAATGTGCGTTGGTAACTTGTATTATATGTTACTAGTATGGGAACCGTGCGTTGCGCGGTAGTATGAATACTTTGATTAATGATCTGAAGATTGTTTATATAAATATATATATTAGTTGTTAATAAAATCATCAACAAATAGTATTCAAATAATTCGAAAAAGTTAAATAAAATACAATTAGTGAAATTGTAATACACACACACACACACACACACACACATATATATATATATTTTTTTTTTGAGAGAGAAATTTTACTTCTATATAAATATAAAGATATAATAATATAATATAATTAATTTTGTACTATAACTTATACCATTTGATTTCTTTGGTTTCCAACCATGGTTATAGATTTCAAAGAGGATCATCAAAAGAAAGACAACTTTATGAGACAAACCCCATTATTTGACACAAAGACATCCAATCCAACTTTTTTATACACTTCATCTTATTCAAATCTTTCAACTCTTCACCAATGTGGGATATCTCAAAATCAACCACAATTTACCAATACCTCAATACTTAATCCTCATGATGTCACCTCAATACTCTTGTTTTCTAACCGCGCGTTACGCGGTAGTGAAATATCATCTTCAAAATGAATGTTATAGACTAAATTTGAAGTACTCTTCTACAATTTTTTAGACAAATGTGAGTACATTAAAAGTTTTTAAGAGGATTTGACAACAATCTTAGAACCATATGCTAATTTAAGTTATCTAACTATGTTTAAGAATCGTGTTGCAAAGTACTCTACAAATGTTTGACTAATGTTAGTAGTTTGTCTAATAAGAAGTCACAGTTTTAATTGAAATCTTATCTAAGGTGACAAAATCACGATTTTAACTTTATAACAAATTTAATTGAAATCTCATTTTTGAAGTTACAAAAAAAAACGTTCTATAATATTTATAGTGAAAATTAGAGGAGTGCGTAAGTTGTAGCAACAATAGTGGAAGTCCAATACGATGCATGAAAAACCACATCATCAAGCTAAGATAATAGATTTTCCCTCATAAAAAATAAAATTAATATCAAGTGGGTCGATGACCCACATATCAAATATTAAACTAACAAAAATATTACACTTTATCGTAACATTTTATAATATTTGAATTGTAATTAAAGGGGTGTGTCAAATCGTGATAATATTAACATCAAGACGACAGATAAATAACTACCTCATGTTGTCAAATTATCATCATTGTTTCACTTTTATATTTGCACTATGATTTTTACCATTTAGTTGGTTTTATATTTGCAAACATGATATAGATTTCAAAGATAGTCATACACCTTTCTTATATACTTTAATTTGTTCAAATTTTTTAACTTTTAATCAATGTGGGACAACTAAAACTCAACAATAATACATCATTTGGTTTGATTGGTTTCCAACCATGGTTTTATATATAATATATATATATATAATAATATAATATAATTAAATTTGCACTATAATTTCTACCATTTGGTTTGATTGATTTCCAACTATGGTTATAGATTTCAAAAAAATAATCCAAAGAAAGACAACCCTATGAGGCAAAACTCATATTTGAAACAAAGGCATCCAATCCACCTTTCTTATACACTTCATTTTGTTCAAAATTTTCAACTCTTCACCAATGTGGGATATCTCAAACTTAACCACAATTCACTAACACCTCAATACTCAATTCTCATGATGTCACCTCAATACTCAATTCTCATAATGCCACATCAATACTCTTGGTTCTTCCTTTAATATATACATATATAGTATATATATATATATATATATATATATATACTGAGAGAGATTTTACTTTTATATAAATATGAAGAGATAAATAATTTAATATAATTAATTTTGTACTATAATTTCTACCATTTGGTTTATTTAATTTCCAACCATTATTACAGATTTCAAATAGGGTAATCAAAAGAAAGACAACCCTATGAGGCAAACCCTATTATTTGACACAAAGACATCCAATCCATCTTTGTTATACACTTCATCTTATTCAAATCTTTCAACTATTCACCAATGTGGGATATCTCAAAATCAACCACAATTCACCAACACCTCAATACTTAATCCTCATGATGCCACCTCAATACTCTTGGTTCTTCCTTTGATATATATATATATATATATATATATAGATTCCTTTAATATATATATATATATAATATAATATAATTAAATTTGCACTATAATTTCTACCATTTGATTTGTTTGGCTTCCAACCATGGTTATAGATTTCAAAGAGGGTCATCAAAAGAAAGATAACCCTATGAGGCAAACCCCGTTATTTGATACAAAGACATTCAATCCACCTTTCTTATACACTTCATCTTATTCAAATGTTTCAACTTTTTACCAATGTGGGATATATATTAGTGAAATTGTAATACACACACACACATATATATATATATAAATATATATATATAAATATATATATATATATAAATATATATATATATATATATATATACTGAGAGAGAGATTTTAGTTCTATATAAATATATAAAGATATAATAATATAATATAATTAAATTTGCACTATAATTTCTACCATTTGGTTTGATTGATTTCCAACCATGGTTATAGATTTCACAAAAATAATCCAAAGAAAGACAACCCTATGAGGCAAAACTCATATTTGACACAAAGGCATCCAATCCACCTTTCTTATACACTTCATTTTGTTCAAAATATTCAACTCTTCACCAATGTGGGATATCTCAAACTTAACCTGTTGGACCGGTAACTACACTAGGGAGCCGCCCACGTGATATTGTCCGCTCTGGGCTGCCCCG